AGTAAATTCTGCTTCATCATCCACCAGCCCAAATCTGAACTAACCTCTTTGAATTGTTGAAATTGACATGAGTGTTGCAACAACAAACGCTGGCTAAAAATCTCATTTGTTATCAAAGTTTTTGTTCAAATAGTAACAAATTAACTTAGAAAAATAGCTGAAATTTAAACACCTGCTGCCTTGAAAAGTCATACTTTTATCAAGTATCAAATGCATTTGTGTAACCAAAATTTAATCAGCTGCTACTCTTCATTAAATATGAAATAGATCAACAACAAACCAGCACGTTTGCCTGCAACCAATGAAGTTATTGACCGCTTTTAGTTTTTGTTGATGTAGAAAATGGCATCAGCAAAACTTGCTACAATTTTTTACTCTTTTTTGATTTTTGTGAAATGTGAGTCTTCATCTCTTGATAGTGTCTCAATTCACACTCACAGGTTGGTACTTTACAATGTTTTAAGCTTTCACCTTTACATTTTTTAAAGGCGTCTTCAGTGCCATAATGCAGTAGTTTTTGAGAGGAATACTTTGAAAAGTTCCCTCGAGCAAATTTTAGATCAGCACCGGTTTGCTGAAAATTTGTTCAAGACGTATTTTAGATTTGTGAGAAGGGGTGCTTTTTCAGTTTGCCTTAATTTCTCTAAAATAGAAGTATTAGGAAGCGGAGTTTTTTTAGAAAAAACGTCAAATTGCAAAATTTTTGGGCACTTTGTGGAATTTTTTGACCAACAAACGCGTTTTTCGGGTTCAAGGTTAGCGTTAAAATTCGTATGTAAATTTGGCTTTAATAATGTCAGAAAAGGCAAAAAACGGCGGTCGGCCAACAATGGTTATTGTTACAAGTACCAAACAAGGGAGAAAACCTGTTGGATGGGGTGAAGTAGCGTCGAGTTCGTGACAAGATGGTAAAGTTCCTAACGAGTTTCTGACCGCGTCCTTTTAAATCAGGTCAGAATTTTACGACATTATATAAAACAACAGTTGCGGAGTTGTATAGAAGTAATTTTTTAAAATATATTTTTGCGTTTCTTCGAAAAGATCCGTTATTTGAATAGCTGCAATTACCAAATTTGGCTGTTTTTGTTTTATTGTTCCGTCTATCGACAAAAGTGACGGAATATTTGTGCTCGCGGTGGGTTTTGTTCCAATTTTGTTAGAAAAAAGACGGAATAATTGTGCCGTGGGTGTTTTTTTTCTACGCGTAAACATCTGATTGGTCAAACATCCAAAAAACAAAGATCCGATTTCTACCGTTCGCTTCAAAGAAGCTGAAGTAGTCGGGTAAAAACAGTTCACCGCGGCCGCGCCAACGTGTTGCGAGCTTGCCAACAGAGACCCTGAATGAAAATTTAAAAAAATAGAGCCAATTAATTCCCAGTAGCGACCTTTAACTGAGTCGGCTCAATTCAAATAGGATATATAAGCTATGTCTTTTTTCGAAATTGTAACGTCTTTTTATTAGATAAATATCATATAGGGTCGGATGTTTGACATAGCGGTTGTTTAAAATTTCGAATTTTTGCTCTATACCCATGCGAATACCCATCACTTTGTTTGGTTTTTATAGCGTGTGGGATGATGGTTTTTGATTTTTTCATCAATATTTTTCATTCCTTAGGGCCAGCGCTCTTTTATACGAGCAGCCTTGTGGTTTCGAACATCAAAAATGGGGGAAAATATTGTATTCGTGGCTGTTTTTTTTTCACCTAAAATCAGGCACCACAAATAGTCATCGGATTGCGTTGAGTGATATATCATATTAAGGACCTTGCAGTCATGATTCAAACCACCAAGGTTGAGAAAAACCGGTTTTCATTTTTCATCTGATTTCGAGCGAACAAAGCAAGGAAGCATTCTTATTTTAATTGCATAAAAGCTCACATTAGCTTAATTTAAAACGCACAAACTTAGTTTTACTTGAATAAACTTAGTCTACTTTGAGTATTTCAGCGCATTTTTGGAACCAAAATTTTCAAAACTTCAAACAACTTCAAAATTTTCTTTCGTTTTTCAAGTAATTATTCTAAAAAAAATTGTTTCTCAATTTGTTTATTTTACTATGACTGTCGAAATACCGTTTTTTTTTCAGCTCTTTTCATCACAACACGCCGAAAATAAAGCGACAATACTTCTAAAAAAACTGTTGTATTTTTTAAAGGCTCTGGTCAGAACATTCTCTGTTGTTTCCAGTGTAACCTGCCATCCTTGATATTGTTTGGGATTGAATTAAAGTGTGACTGTAAAATTTGTGAATGTCTGATGTTTTTTTTATTATGTACTCTTTTTTAAAATTGAAACAATTAAATTCTGCAATGCGCAGTTCTGAACTAGCATATTTGGTTTTTATAATCTCTACTCATTTCCAGGTATGAGTTATATCGCTTTGATGTTCGTCTCCTGCCTGACATGGCACTGTCCTCTCCTCCCGAGAGGATAGTGGGTGCGATGGTGGCGTGTGAGAGGAGGTGCAATGACAATCGCTTTTGTCGCCCGTTCAACTACAGTCCATACTATCACATGTGCGAACTACTCGCCACCGATACCGCACTCAGAGGCATAAATGATAAAGGCAAGCGAGATATTTTTAAAACTTTTCTTGCAGTTAAGTTGCAAAATCAACGTTTTTTGAAGTGCCACATCGCAATAAAATTTAGGGACCTATCAACTTTTAATCGGAACGAAAACCAATTCACGTATAAAAAATTTGGGCACGTAAAGGAGCAATTAAAACGATTTTTGAGCTCCCACAAGTCATTCTAGCTCAAACTGGTCACTTCACAGAGCTTATCAGAGCTATGTGATTTAAACCAAGCGCGTAGAAGCTCGCTTGAGCTCTCTGAGATAGCTTGCCGAGCTCTGAGAGCTTGAACTTAGAAATAGATAGGCTACGTACGAGAGCAATTGAAAAAATTTTCATTAGGGAAAACTGCAATTTTTATTAGAGAATTCTTCAAAAACATTTAATTTCTTATCAACCAAAATCAAATCAGTGAAGTTTAGATTTTAGAGTTATAATTTTATTAGATAAAAATTTGCGAAACTTCGAAAACGAAAAACGCACGTAATAAAATAAGATTACCTCCTCTAGCAGCATGTGTTCAGCTAAATGAAACGCTGGTTTGATTTAATTTGCTGGAAAATAAACCTGATAATATCATTAAGATGAAACACTGTGTTCTTTATAATCGCATTACTGGTCTCAGTAGATCACTGGAAAGTAGAGAAAAAACTGTAAATAAGTTCCGAATTATTCGTAGTTTCTGCTGAAGATTCAGCGCACAACTTGCAACGTGATCTCTAGTTAAGCGTGATAAATAGTTCTTTTGCGTTTTCCGCAACAAACCAGCTTAACAATTTCTTCTGGATTCAGTAAATGTAACAAGATTTAGCAAAGTTTTTAGCGGATTCCACAAAATTAAGCGAATTCTGCAATTTTGATCATTGCACTGAACTATTTACTAACAGCTCAACAGTTAAGCGTGATTTTACTCGCACATATTTTTAAAAAATATTTGTTTGTCGGTTCTACAAACTGTCCGAATTGTAAGAATTTTGTCGTGAGTTTTGGAATATCGCTGTTTTTGGAGCGATTTTGAGCAATAAAACGTTTTAGCGATTTGTTTGTGAAAACTAAATCCAGAAAACAAGCTAAGAAAAAAGCCGTGCTGCGTATCTGCAACAACTCTGTTTTCACCCTGTCGCTGAAACTTCTTACAATTGACAAAATACTCAGTTTAGCCTCGCAAGGATTCGCGTAAACTGAAGTTGTTTTGAAATAATTTCAGGCAAATTTGGTCATTTTGAAGCTCAACTGAACTTTTGAACTGCAAAATAATTTGCATGTTTGAATTTCTGACATCAGTCATTTTTTTTCAGTTTAAAATACTTATGGCGAACAATACTTATGGAATGCCAACAATTGCAAAAAAAGTGTAACAAAATCTTTTTTTTTTACTGCCAGCTTGTGTTGAACTTTTTCCGAATTATGAGAATAGGAAATCACATTGATTGACAGGAAGTGCTTTTCACACAAATAGCATACAATTGTCCATATATTTTGAATTCCATTCGTCAAAAAAGTTGCTTGATAATTTTTTACCCAGTATTTTAGGTACTTGAGACTTTTCACTATCATTCTTCTATAACGTTATAAAAAACCCTAACATTTTGGTTTCGATTTATGTTTTTGTTTGCTGCCAAACTTATTGGCCCCGGGTTTGAACATCTCACGTGAGCAAACAATTATCGCAGGGTAACTGCAATTTGAGGTATGCTAGGAACTAAAACTTATTTGACTTGCTTTTTTGCTTTTTCGAAGTATACGCGCTTGGGTTCATATTTTTATCCAACTTCAATGCTCAAAATTTTTATCCTTGACGCGAACTCTTTGTTTCTTAAATCACTGTTGAATTCGCAGTTCGTAAGTGGAAAAAAAATTCACCAGTGATCAATTTTGAAATATTACAATTCAATTAATTGATTGGAAAATTTTATAGAGCATTCTATTTGATTTTTAGAACCTTTATCTACTATGTTCAAAGGATATGTGCAAAGTATGAATATTTAGCTATACTCGATAAAACAATCTATTTTTTGGTGTTGTTTTTATTTTTAAAAGTTTTATTCAAGATATTTTCAAAAAGATATTCAAACCAAAAGGTTGCTTGGTGCAATATGGTTGCTATCAACTTTTGTCATTTCAGATTTTTTTTTTCGTTTTTTGTCTACATTTCATTTTTTTTCTGAAAGACTCTTAAGCATAATTCAATTGATTGAGGCAGTTAACTGAATTTTAGCTAGAAAAGTTTATAAGAAAATTAATTTTTTTAAATTTTAGTTCCACGAACTTCCTCAAAACTTGGCTAAAGGAACTTTCTTGAATTTTTTATTGTTGAAAATATCGTTTCTGATTATCTACAAGTAGCAAAAATAAACACTTTTTAACTAATTCTAGCCACAAATTTTTAATTTTTTCTTATAGGACAATTCTCCAATTTCTGAACTGTTGGCTGGGTATACCGATCACTGGGCAAATCAGTGACTAAAGGATGCTCTGGTTCTGTGTCAAACTGCACCAATGTTCAGATGGAGTCTTCTGGCGGACAGTTCACCTTCAGATGGACATATCCCAGTGACCACTCGACTGACGGAAGCAAATACGCTGTGGTAACTAGTCGCTTAGATAACAACTCTGAATCCTTATTTCTAGCTTAAAAGTCTTAAAATCAAGTCTGCTAGTATTGAGAAAAAGCCTTGATTGTTCCGACGACCCCTTGAAAATCGACAGAAAAATTAACGTTTTTTTTGAAAGTTAAAAATTGATAATATTTTGCAAAAAAATGAAATCTTTCAGATATATGTTTTTAAAATCCTCCACACTTCGTGTTAAATATAAAATGATACAAGTCGATTCTAGCAACGTGCAAACAGTTCTGAATGCATTGTTTTAAATCAAAATGGAATGAATTCTGAGCCAGATTTGATCACATCACAGCTCACGCCTTATTAGAACGAAATATATTGGCCGTTATTTGTCGCCCATTATTTAAAATGGCAAATTTCAAACCACCATACATTTTCAATAAAAATTAGAGGTAGATCATCTTTTCAAATTTGAGCTCTGTGCATTAACGGTTTTCAGATGATATAAAAAGTTCTATGCAAGTGGCTCGTTGAAAAGTCGAAACTTTTCTTAGGGAAATTCACACCGAGCTCAAACACTCCATCCTTCCATCGAAAGTCGGAGTAGCAGGTCTTTATGTTCTAAGATTGATCACCAGGGTAAAACGTTCCTTGAAAAATATCCTCGAAAAAAAATGTCCCATAGCCTATATTTTACTCATTTTTAAAAAAATAAACCCTGAACAACCGGAAATTTACAGCCATGCAAACAATATTTGGGTCTTTTCTGTTATACGACCCAAAATATCGAACAGTTAATTGAGCGCTGATTTTCATTGAACAAGTTTAGATTTCGCTTCGCTGGTATTAGTTTCAACCAATCAGTTTCGAGCATCATGTTCAAACTTTTAAAACAGGTGAACTTTTAAAACAGGTGGCCAAAATTTACCCAAAGAATGTGTTTTGAACGCAGCGGAACGCTTTTTGTAGTACTTTTGCTTAAAATTTGCTTGTGGCACAATAAAGTTAAAAATAAGTAAAATTTTGCATCCCGCTGAGCTAATTTGGATTTATTTCACATCATCCACCTGGCCCCCTTGGGGGTGTTAGTAGATTCAATTAGCTCATAAACTTTTTTAAAGGTTATTTTACATCATGCATTGGGAAATTTTTTTAAAAAGTACGCGTTGTTATCAGACATACCAGCATGTCCAAGTGACCCAACTTCTGCCAAACGGAAGTGACAAAAACTATGCTATCGTGTGGAATGATCGAAAAATGGGACCAGAAGTCAGAGAAGTGACTTTCGATGGGACCATCATGAACAGCTGGAATAACTACAAAATACGCATTACGTTAGCTCGCTTACCCAAATTTTAACGATGTTGTTTGTTAATTAACTGGTGAAATGAGCTTTGCTGAAAAGCGGTTATTTAGGTTTAAACCACATTCCAATCAACGCAATCTTAAAATCAACCCGTGCAAACCAATTCGAGTTCTCTTCATTTTCATGATCAAAAATTATGTAGAGAAAAGTTTGACTTCGAGTAAACAAATGTCAAAATGTAAAAAACTACCGGTGATTTATCTAAATAGGTTATGGACAAAAATTTTTATCTAAACAAACTTTTAGACAACAGCAGAGGTTTCTTTCTTTTCCGGAGTTTGAATTTCAGCAGGTTGGAACGATCTTATTAAAAGTTTTTGACAAAAACATATCAGGAAAACTTCAACCGACGTAATAGTTTTCAACTGCAAGGCCTCTCATTTTGTTTTCGTCTGAAAACGATTATGTTAATTATGATGTTTGGGTCTTATTCACTAAAAGGCCCAAAATAAGTACATCAACTTTTTTTTGAATTGTCTCGCAATGTATAACCATTTTACCTACCATGTGACCTGGAAAATAATTAAGCAAAATTTGTACAAAAGACACTGATGTTTCTATCAACTTCAGGCCATATTCATCTTCGGAAAAAAAACAAAAGAATCAAATATGTATCGCAAGCGGTTTTACATGATGCCGCCTTTTTTATTTATTGCGAAGTTTATTGCAAAATGGCATATGGTACTCTGGAAATTTACAGCAGTCCAGAGCCATTTGAGTAGAATAAATTTTATTTTTGCTTGTTAATCTGATAAAAGCAAAACTTTTCAATTAATTCAACGATGAGTGACAAATCAATTGTAGTTGAGTTGAAAAACTTCGGTAACTCATTTTAAGAGAGCAGTGACTCAGTTATTTCCTTCGTGAAATCAAATCATTTATTAAGTATATCTTCCTTCCAAAATTTGGGCAATAACTTTCAGCAGATTGACAAATTACCTGCTCGTACTTCACTGGGAAAATGGAGACTAGTTAAAAACCTGAATCGATTCGTTCCAAGATGTGAAAGTGAAAATCCGAACTTTTTGCATGTTTTCGTCGGAATTGAGAATTTAAAAAACTGGTCGTCTTACTAAACAATCAGGAACCTATGAAGAAATGATTTCATGCAGGGTCTTCAATGCTTGCTGTATTTTTAACAATCTCCCGCTTCCTATAGGGTTTTTCTTTTAAGTTTGTTAAGGAGAGCACTACAATGACTACTAAGACGTCTGACATGGCTTTATACCCTGCTAGCCTGATGAAGCAATCGATGCTGCTTAGGCGTCTTCAATCTTAGAAATTCGTTGACTTACGTATGGAGATCAAGTGTTTTATGACGCTAAAGCTCAAAACTTTCATTTTTGGGAATTTTTTGAGTATAAACAATGTACAATCCAGCTTGCAACCTTTAATACTCAACTTATTCCTGAAACATTTTACAACGTCGCTATTTTGAGTTTTTGGTAAGCTGTATGAAATTATTAGACCTGTGTCTATTAAAAGAAATACTAATTCAGTTTTTGTTATTTTGACCTTCTAAAAAAACTCTGAACGGACTTCGGAGGCTTACAGAGTTTGCTTTAAACCAAGAACGGTTATAAAGATACAATGTCTAGATAAAGGTTGATTGATTGATGCGGGTGTCATTCCTATCGCGATATTTAAAAAATTAACGCTAAAAAAATAATGATAAAAAAATGGGCGGAAAGTGGGACAAAACAAGCGAAGGCATTAATGAGAAACAATATTTTATCCATCAAAAAACTGTAGTTGCGAAAACCACTTGTTTTCGATCACGGCCTGGAGTTTACCAGGCCTGCCAAATCAAACAAGTGATATTTTTCTTCTAAGTTTTTTTGTGCTATGCTTTGAATATTCAAATATTCTAGAGTTGTAGTTCTGCTAATTCTACACTAGTTTAAGGCTTAACCTATTTTTCTAACTTTTCAAACACCACTACGATTAAAATAACTTTTTCAAGATGGGATTCATTTTTTTTGTATCTTTTGGCCTGGATATGAAAACAAGTCTGTCGCCAGTTAGGCGAACTGGTTTACTGTGTTGTCTTGAAAAGCAGATAGCGCGATGACTAAGCCCCCTAATTAAAAAATTTGAAGTCTTAATTAAGTAAGGCAGGAGCAAAATTGAAAAAGTGCTCTGATCATTTAATTTTTTTATTTTCTACACTAAAAAACCAATAAATTGCAGATTTCAATTTTATCAACAGTATGAAAAAAAGTATAAACGAGATTTGAAGTCTAGACTGCTTGGGCAGATTTGTCTCAGCCTAAAACTGACGAAAGATCAATATGAGTCATCAGAATAATAAAACCCCCCCCCCCCCCCCCTGACTCACTAAGTCTGATGATGGCTCTTTTCCATTTTCCCTTTTTGATTTTTTTTTGAAGTTCATTAAATGGAAGTCTATTTAAAATGATATTTGATCTTATAAGCTGCATTTGCGAAGAGGGTGGGATACTGAAAAAAGCCTAGTTGATTTATTTTCTTTTTTCTTTTTTTCTCACTAATATTCCTTCTAATAAAAATTACTTTTGAAAAAAAAAAAACATTCTAAAACTAACAAAGGTAAAATTGTAATGTTTTCTTTTGATCTAATTTTACCTAATTTGAACCTATATATACTCTAAACCTATTTTGGTATCCATTAACAAACATCTTTTATTAATATCATTTTAACTACAGGACCAGATAGACTATGATCTCTGATAACATCCAAAATGAGACTTTTTCTTAGTTACCAAGGGAATCAAAAGAATCTGCCAACGACATTTTGTTTCTTTAAGTAAAGAGTATTCTATGTTTTCGATTTTGTCTATGGCGTGCAGTCAATCAATCCTAAAAAACGTGTTTGAAATTGTATGCGAATAAGCAGAGCAGAGTAGATTTTTAGGGTGTCGAGAAAAAATGGCAAATTTATAAGTAAATTCGGGGGTTTGGCTGACATAAATTGAAATTGAAATGTAACTTTTAACAGTATTAAAGTTTATGATTACCGGTTCGAATGTACAGGGCTGCCATTACAAATAAGTGAAAAGTTGGGTTTATGTTTTTTTGCTCTGCCTTGATTTTTACTGATTTACTGTTTCGGGAACTCTTTGATTATTTTATCCTCAAGAAACTGCTTTTTGAAAAACTCTTATCGGAAGATGTTCATATCTAGTGGCACCAAGTATTTTTGACAGATACTCGTCAGAACGGTCGAAGATTAAACGAGATTTTGCATGACTTTTCTTACATGACTTTTCTTACATATGAAAACTGCCCAAACATGTTTAACAGCATAAACAGTTTGTTGAGTTGTAAAAACCACCACGATCACCGAAAATCTATGAACCGTTAAGACTTTTGACTACTAAGGCAAGAAGCCGCCACTTGCTACTTAATTATTTAGCGGTCAGGGTTGGTCAATATTATGCGAGTCTTAGAGCGGAAGATGGAACAAAAACCGTTTTTGGGGAGAAAATAGTCCAGTTACATTTTACTTAATTTTACGCAGTTATAGGGTGGATTCGAATCCGGTCCTTGCCATCTCTAGACTAGTTTTCCAACCGCATGCCCATTAAGTGTTACGATAAGTAAATTCAGTCATATTTTTAGCGTTATTTTGCTTTCAGCATTTTGGAAAAAATCATTTGCATGCAAAGTAAATGTTTTGCTACCATTATTACTCAAAAGCTACTCTGCAAAAACTGTATTTGAAAAATTATTTTGGAAACCTTACAAATAACAACAAATTATTTAAAGATAACTTGTGTTAAAACTAGTTTATGATTTGAACTGATTTTTTTTTTAATTTTAGCTTAATTGTTTGCTAGTTTTCAGCCTGATTTTTATTTTCCAATTTGTATTATTTGTTGAATATCTTCAGCAATCGCTTCGAACAAGTCTCATCATTTTTATCAATAATTTTCCGGAACTTTCTGGTGTGATGATTTTATCTGCTTGGGGTTGAGTTATGCTGAATTATCATTTAAAAGTTAAGTTCTTTCTTTACTTAATGATTTCTGAAAGCCATGAGGATTGGGTGTTTCTCTAGCTTAACTCAACCCGTTCTGATTTTACCGTGAGTAGCGAAAAAGTTATCTTCGTGTTACTCTCAATTTGAACCCGTCTTTTTCTTCTCATAACAAAAAAGGCAAGTGACTTGAAAACGTTCAAAAATATTTGGAAAAAAAACAAAAAAACAATAAATTTTAAATAATGTAAAAATTAAAGAAGTAAAAAAGAAACAAAAAGAAACAAAAAGAGTGAAAACGATAACTACAAATTTTTCTGTTTTAATTATTTTTTTGTTCTGTATTTTTCATTGCTTAACTAAATTTGTGCATTGGCAAGCCGAAATTTGTTATCCTGTAATATTTCTCTACTTTTAAATATTCTTGGTAGCCTGGTTTCAAACGTTTCTTTCTTTTCAGTATTTTAGTTTTTAGGTATCTCCCCTTGATGCCTAATTTTGATATATTTTTTAACTGTAGGACTAAATTGCACAGATTTTTAGGGAATCAAAACCTGATATTTAGGGTATTTGAACTTTGCCATCTTTCGGTCTTTCGTCTATGAGTACATTTTTACTACCTATTTCCAGGAAAAAAAAAGTTTTTTGATTTTCCTGTTTCGGTTTCAATCAGGCCTCGAGGAAAGACTTTGCATGCGGTTTGTCTTTCACATTAAATTTTTTTAACGCAAAATCAACTACCATAAAAACGATGAAATTTCTTTAGCAAGTCAACTCAGAATAAAGTTGACCAGTTAGTTATTTTAATATACTTGTCGGGGTTGGAATAATCTGTACTCATCAAAATAATTTCTTGTTGCCTTCTTTTTAATTTTTGGTTTAAATCGATAGAAATTTCAATTATTGAGCTTATCCCATCTTTAAAAAAGTAATCTCTGTTTTTTTTTACTTTAGTAAACGAGTCAAAATTTTTTTTTGCTATTGATAAAGTTACTTTGTTTTTCTTTTATAGTTATTTACAGATTTAAGTCACTAATTACATGTTTAAGACTGTCTGGTTTCAATTTTCAAATTTTCGAATCTAAGTTTTTGAAATAATTTTTATAGCACAAACAAGGATAGCTGGTTACTGTGCAAATAGTTCAGAATTATCCGACCAGTTTTAACAAAAAAACAACATTTTTTTTCAAGTTAGTGTCGTTTTTTCTGTGTGGTGTATTGAAAGATCTGAATGAAAAGTTAGAATATAGGTATATTCGACATTTTTAGCCAAATCGGCCAATTACTAAACAGGCCATTTGAAGAAAAATACCACAAAAACGCAAAAAAAAATTACATTATTTTTCTAATTTTTTTGCAGAACGTTTTTTGAATTTTTGAAAATTTTGTTCCCTAAAACTCGAGCCATTTTTTTCAAAACTGGGAAATATTTTTGGAATTTTTTTGAAGTTGTTCGAATAACCGTTTAAAGAGCTTAAAATGATATATAATTTGACGCATTCCGATGATTATGTGTGGTACCTGGTTTTGCGTTGAGAAAAAAACTAACCAACATCCGAATACATAATTTAAAATGGCTCTGCATAGGTTATAAGTTTTTCTTATTTGAGTTTCCTATCTCTTCAACATGTCCTTGAACATTATTGGTCATATATTTGGACCAAATTTAGAAAATTTTTCGAATAGCCGGGGCCAGTTAAAAGAACTTAGTTTTTCGTTATGATATCCTAACATTCTGCCTGATTTCAAAAAATCCAGTTTTGAGCAATACATCTTTTGGATGACCCATCTCTGAGTAACTTTTAACCGTTGATTTTTTACTTTATGCTAAAGTGGTAGAATTTTGTGCTATTTCTAAAAAAACATAGTTTCCGTAATAATTTCCTATTTTTGATAAGTAAAAGTTAGTTTATTTGAAATGCTTAACTGTGAGCTGGGGGGTCCGCAGAAAATTTTCTTGGAGTGGGGTGGTTTTTTGAAGAAAAAAAAATTGAAAATTTTGTCAATCTTTTTTTCGGTCGAACGATTTGATTTTCCGAGCTCTCCAAAAAAACTATAAGGATCCTATTTTGCCAAAAGTTTTGTGCGCCGCAGGAAAATTTTCAAAACAAGAGGATGAAAAAGACGTTTTGAGCACTTTTACAAACTATTTGACCTAAAATTTGCGTTGCTTCGGCGCACGCTCCCCCTGAAGTTTAATTATATTCCTTGGCACCAAAGGCGCCTTTAGAAAATTTTTGATTTCGGTCAGTCAAGAATGCATTTCGTAATTTTATACCAATATACCAAAGGGAATTTTTGAAAAAAAAACCGACCAGAAATGAGGGCGAGGGGGTGTCGTTTGAGCAGGGGGGTGTCACCCCAAGCCACACTCATCGCTATCCACACTACTGACTGTAAGTTTTTCCGGTTTTCAAACTTTAACTTTTTTGTTTTTGGAAAGTTTCTCTTCTTTCATATTCCAATAATTGTTATCAATAGCTTGGCCCATTTACGTTAGAATTTAGACTATCAAAACGCATCGCCTACCAAAATTGCGTTTATTGAAATGCTTGAAATGTTTTTTTTTTCACATTTCAACATCTCATATCTTGATCACCGTGTTTTTGTGTAAATCTGAACATATTGATCCAAGAGAACTTATAATAATTGATCAACCCGCAAAAAATTCAAATTACTTTCAATTCTTTGATTTCCGCGTTGTCCTTTGGGATCCAATCACGAAATAAGTGACTTGTTAAAAAAATTTGGAGTGCAATTTCAAGTTTTACATTGTCGTGAAAGGTTGAACATTATAAGATACATATAAGACAACTTGCTTTATACGTTCAAATTTTTGCTATTCATTAATTCTTTAAAACACAGTAAGCCTCTCCCCTGTGCCAAAAAAGAATTGAAACTTCAAGGGGAAATGAAAAAACTTAATTTCTTCTTTGTTAACCATTAAATAAACTTGACTAAATGAAAAGCAAAATTCTTTTCAATCTTTTTAATCGGAGGCAAATTGAACAAGATGACAAATTTGTTGCACTGAGAATCAACTCAGATGAGCCTATCAATTGATTTTTTTGCAGTTGTTTGAAGATTTTCTAAAGTTTTCTGAAAAGAGAAGTAAGGTTAGTTAACAACTTCAGGTTATGTTGTGGCGAACTGGTTGTTATTAACTGCCTTAACGCTTCTTTTTTGCTGGTAAATAAAATATATTTTGTTTTAGACCGTTGTTCAATCAAGAGACCTTGAAACTTCAAACGACGTTGGTAGGATTTATGCGAGCAACTTCGACGCAGCCCATGAATCCGATGACTACCGCAGAACCGACTACACGCACAGTTCCGATAACTACCGCCGAAACTACTACGACCGCGGCTGCGATTATTACCGCAGAGCTGACAACAACTGTAGAACCGACGACGAAGACGACGACTGCAGCAGCTCCGGCGACGACTGCGGCCAAGACTACTACTGTAGAACCGACGACAACTACTGCTCCAACGACTACTGTAGAACCGACGACAACTACTGCTCCAACGACTACTGTAGAACCGACGACAACTACTGCTCCAACGACTACTGTAGAACCGACGACAACTACTGCTCAAACGACTACTGTAGAACCGACGACAACTACTGCTCAAACGACTACTTTAGAACCGACGACAACTACTGCTCAAACGACTACTGTAGAACCGACGACAACTACTGCGCCAACGACTACAGCAGAATCGACGACAACTACTGGAATCGACGACAGCTGTAACCCCGACAACTACGACAACACCATCTCCTTTGGTTGAAAATGTTATAATGACATTTTACGTCACAGCCACCGGAAATTTTGTATTCAATTGGTTGGTAGATTCAAGCGGCCCAGCTGCAGGTCAAAAGGCAACACATAATGTGGTTGTGAGGTACTTTTCTATTTGATTCCTAAAATTACGTTCGATATAGATATTGTTGACTTAACGGATAATTTTTCAAGCACGAAAGTGAAGAAAAAATTGAAAAAGAAAATGAAAATCATCTCATTTTTGTAAGTGAGTTTGAACTAATTAGCTTTCACTTCCATAAACTATTTGAACCGTAGATACTGATTTTTAATCGAGTATTTCCTCAGTTTACCAGTATTTCCTCAGTATTTCTATCGTGTATTTCTCAGTTGTATTTCTCATCTCGGCATGTTATTGCGTGGAAGCTTTTTGCTCCCGAACCAATTACAGTAAAAAATTATGGCTCCTGTAGTCGTAATTCGATCCATGTTTTCAATATTTATAACTTAATTATCATTGTCGATAAAAACCATCTAGGAAAGTTTGCTTTTTAGATTTTTTAGAGTAATATTTGGTCTCTATAGATAATAATCAATTACAAAAATTGTATTGTCTGTCCCAACGTTGGGGGGCTTGAGTTAAAAAATTTCTGCCTTTTGTTAAGTTTGTGTGTTCTGAATTTGAGTTATGAGTAATTGTAGCAAAATATCATACGACCCAAAATAAATTAATATGAAAAACAAATTCATTTAAAAGGATATTATATGGACTAAAACCAAGTTGAAACTCGAGAAAAATAGGGATGATAATCTACTTATAACCCATTCCATTGTCCCATGGCGTCTGGGGAAACAAATAGTACAGACAAAATTTTAGTCTACAGAAAATCAGTAAAGCTGAAAATTTTTTGAGTGTGGTTAAACTTCGGTCTTATTAATGCACAATATTTCTGCGTTGTTATAATGCACATAAGCGGCAGATTGAAATGTTCCTTTTTGAATTTTGGCAAATCTTGTAGTTTTTCATTCAAAATCGAGACCAAGAACGTATCTATATATCATTATTATGATTGTTATATGTTTATATATATTATTTTATATTATATATATTATTAGCTATTATCATTATTATATGTTTGTCTCAAGGTATATTTGTTTCTCAAGGTATCATCATAGACGGCACATTAGTGTGTAATTTCAAGTTTTCATAACTTTTAACATCTGTTAGTTGATTGGCAAGCAGTTCTCAACGTATCATAGACGGCGCATAAGTTCTCTTTTTTCAGCATATCTCCCTTGCCAAATAGTTTCGTTGGCCCGAACCCCAGTCAAGTTAAATACCTGGCCGGAAATCTGGAAATCAAGTTGAAACCTTGGCCCCAAACAACATACAATATTGAGTATTGGGTCAATGCACCCGATATGGGAGGCCTGAGCAGTGCAAGGAGGCAGTTGATATATGTCCACGCTTCTTTCACACTTGCTGGTATGTTCATAGTTTTGGCTGTTCAGTTTCTGCATCATCAGGGGTGGATCACTTTTTAGATCAATAAAGTTGCTTTTCAGAGTTCTTTTAAACAATATAAAGAAACGGTGACAAAGTTTTCCGCAGGCAAATTTTTGAAAACAAAATTAAGTCAAGGCAGTTTTTGGGAACAGCCTGGACAGTTTTGTCAAAAAACTCATATTTTTTCGGTCTGCGCTTTTTTCGGCTAATTTTTAAGTATTGGAACTGATCACCGTATGACTTTTAAGGATACTTCGATGACAGTGCCTTTGTTGACGAATGTCCAAACAACGTCCCGGTAAGACTGGCTATTGCGGGAGATCCAGATCACGACCAAGTTAAGTTCTTCGATGGTACTAGAACTACCGCTGCCGAAATTGTAGTGGGCGAAGAGTTGGCTGCAACCTGCAATTCACCCGACCGCTACTCAATCTCGATTTTGGACGGGAGCCAAACTACTCATGTCTTTCATGTAATTGTTCCGACTTTCGATACGAAAGTAACGGAATATTTGTGCTCGGGTGGGTTTTTTTTTCATCAGACAAATTTTGACTTTTTAACTAGCCATTTTTGACGGAAATTTTTCATATCATTAAAAAGGTAATGTTGTTCTGAGCTCAAATTTGAAAAGATATTTTTTCACCTGTGACCATTTTTTTAAAAAGTTTTGGGGGTTTAAAGATTGCCATTTTGGCCAATTTGGGACAATTAACGATATATTTCGCGCTATTACCGCGTAAGCGGAGAGTTATTTTGTCTTAAAATTGTTCCAAATTGGTTGAAAGAAGCTTACTATTCCGACTTTCGATACGAAAGTAACGGAATATTTGTGCTCGGGTGGGTTTTTTTTCTTCAGACAAATTTTGACTTTTTAACTAGCCATTTTTGACGGAATTTTTTTTTATCATTCAAAAGCCATTGTTGTCCTGAACTTAAATTTGAAAAGATATTTTACCTGTGATCATTTTTCGTAAAGTTATGAGGGTTTAAAGATTGGCATTTCGGCCAATTTGGGACAATTAACGCGCGATATATTTCGCGCTATTAACGCGTAATATATCGCGCGTTAATTTTCATTTTAATTTATTTCATTTAACTTGTTATGTTATTAATGCTGCTCCATAAACCTTAAAAGGCGGTCGGAACATTCAGGGCTTTGCCCTGATACAAGCAGTCTTGTTTACTATAATTGATTTGTTACAAGGAGCAAAATCTAACTTTTTCTACTTTATATGGCGTGTGGGGAGACGATTTTCATAGAAAAATTTCAAATTTAGAGAAAAAAAATGTCATTTTATATTATTACATTAAATTTTTTAATGTTATTTCTGCTCCATAAAATCTTAAAAGGCAGTCGGAACATTCAGGGCTTCGCCCTGATACGAGAAGTCTTGTTTCTTCTTATGATGGAAAAATTGAAAGGTTTTGAAAGCAATTTAGCGAAAGATGTTCAAACTTTTCAAATTGTTTTAAACTTGTATTGAAGAGTGTTCTTTTTTCACTAAGATAACAGAATGTTGTTCCGACTTTTGAAAAACTCGGTGTGGTTTTTCTCTTCTGACAAATTTCAGTTTTTTAACTAACTGCTTTTAAATGGAGATCATTATATCAACTGAAAAATATTGGTGCCTTTAGCTCAAATATAAATCGATACTTTTTCTGTAATTTTTTTGTTAAGTTATGGCGGTTCGAAAATTGCACATTTGGTTCATTTGAGAAAAACAACGCGGGAAAAATTTTGCGTTCAATTGAAGCGTAAGTGGCAACTCAAATCGGCTCAGAAATTGTTTCAATTTGATTTCAGGCAAACTATTTTTAAACTATTAATACATTGCTAGACTATAATTACATTATTTCATTGCTCCAACTTTCGAAGAAAGTGAGGAATATATATGCTCGCGGGCGTGATTTTCTTATTCAGACCACTTTTACAAAAATCTGCTCCATCGTGGGATCGGTCTCATGATTTGCTTGTACCCAATAGGTTGTGCACACCACTACAGTAACCTGCCGAGAGTAACCTGCCAAGATAGGGGTGGTTGTCTAAACTGCTTGTTTTATCGTTCACATGTGGTGAATTATCTCAAACTACAAAATCGTTCCAAATTGATTTAAGGCTGCTAAATGGTCTATACTAATCAAATTGTAACACTTAAATTTTGATATTATCAGCCATTAAAATCATAGTTTTGCCGATATTTAATTCACCAAAAACTATTCGAGAGCAATTAAAGGGAAGTTAGTACAATCAATTAACACATTCAGAGCTTTGGCCTGGTACGAGCAGTCCTGTTATTTATTTATGGGTGTCCAGAGAATATCTCTGAAACATCTTAAATTTTTAATCAATTTCAAATCGTCTTTCTAGAAGAATTTTACATAGTTTGAAAAATAGAGAGTTCATGGGCTCAAAATTAAAACAAAGTAGTATCTGTTAATAGGGTGATTTAAGGGTTAATAGTTTGGCCAATTTGAGACAAGTATTTGCTCTATTGACGCTTAACGTAGACGTCGAAAAAATGTTAATCAAATATCTTCCAAATTGAAAAAAAAAGTATGCTAACTGATCCATATTTTGCGTTCAAGTACTCAAATTTTATCATTTTCATTTTTTCTATAAAATTTTACGAAATTATTAAAATCAAGTTTTATTTCAGGCTCTTTAAAGGCGATCGAAGTATTGAGAGTTTCTCCTTGATACGAGCAGTCTTTTTATTCTTATATTGTCTTACTTTTTCTCTAAAATGATAAATTTGTGAGAAAAACTTCGAAGATTTTTACTTTTCCATCAATGATATAATCTATTATAATTAAAAAAATATTTAAAAAATGAAATATTCAAAACAATGGTGTTTCTTCTTCTTTACTGTCCTTACAAAAAACTATTCAGAAAAAAGAGGTTTTTTCTTTTTTCAATTGCATCATAGGAGAAATTCGATTGAAATCATTCATTGATCAATTAAAAAATCCAGCTAAAAAAAAAAAACTACGAAGATTGTATTTTTAGAAAATGATATAATCTATTAGCCTTTGTAGATAAATGATATGCATTTTGCAGTAGGCTAATAAAGCAATTGGGATAGAAGTGTCCCTGCAAAACCAATGTTCACGTAAAAAAATATCATTTTCTACTTGGAACTTTTAACTTGGAATGCGGGGTAGGGTAGGGGGAGCATGGTTGGTAGAACAATGAACCAGCAACTTGAATAGAGATTGGAGCACTTTGGTTTTCGTACCCTGAAGTGTCTTGGATTCCCTCAATCTCAATTGCACCAGAGCGTCATTTTCAATATGGATCATGATCGCCGAATTCCGTTTTTAGGTACAGTTGTGCAATACTGCAACAAACTACTATGGACCTTTGACACAAATTCAAATGAACGCTGCATTCTCTCACCCAGCAGCAAGTTCAATCACGTAAAAACTTTTTCTTTTGTCAAATGTTTTTGTTCCAGCTGGCGAAGAGTTTGACAGTGTGTTTGTGTTCCGGTGGTGTATTTCATTCCAGACAACATAAAACTTTTTAATAAAGCTCAGTTTCTTTCGTAGAGCGAAAATTACTGATTGCTTGAGCTCAAAACAGGTTAATTTCATAATTCACCTGGGACAACTTTGTGTAAGACTATGGCGCTCGAAAATGACAGTCAGGCTAATTTATTATTCTGCGTCAAACTTTCAATTTTCTAAAGACGCAACCGTGTCAAATCAATATCAAGAAATTAATTGAAATAGACTTGAGGCTGGCTAATGGATCCAAATAATTGTATCTGAAAATGCGTGTGGGGAGAATATTTTCATTTTTTTTTATTTAAGTTTTTAAATTTAAGTTCTTTTTTAATTTAAGTTCTACCAGAAGCTACTTACTCGTTAAAAGGCACTCGGAACATTCAGGTTTTTACCCTGATTCGAGAAAACTTAATTTGTAATTGTTACCCATTTAGAATATCAAATTTTAGGGCTTCAATAAATCATTTTAAAAACACGCTTTTAACCTCAGGAAACGCAGCAAAACACATCAAAGTTTTGAAAGGCTTCATCTTGAGAGTTTTTTCAGATTCTGCGCAAATCCTCACACGGGGCAAAATGGAGAGCTTGCCTCCAAAGTTTCTTTGTACGTATACATAATTGAACTTGAACTTGTTATTCATGCTTTGCTTGCGTCAATTGAAAATTCCTCAGTTCTGATGAGTAAATTCTTGGAGATTTGGAAAGTTTCAAAAAAAATTAAACCCTTTGTAAAGATATATAAAATTAATGTAAAATTTTGTTATTTTTTATGTTCGAAAAATTTCTTTGCTGTTTTTTAGAGAGTTCAAGAACCCGAGTTTGACCACACTGTGTGAAGGGCTGTTTTCGTCAACAACTTCTTCAGGTATGTCAGCTTTCTGCAAGGCGGCGAATTGAAGAGAAAAATTAGAACGGGAAAAAAATAAATTATGGAGTGGTCTCAAAGTTTTCTCGAAAAGTTGAAGCAAAGCTCTCGAAACAAAAGCAAAAGTGCAAAAATCCTGAAATTACTGAGATTTCTACTGAGTTATTTTCTCCAAAAAAAATTACTAACCAGTTTTCTTCTATTGCTGTTCATTTTTTGCTTCCGGTTTACTTAATTGTCATCGCGTGGTTGCTCAATAGGTATGTGCACTGGATCTATTAACAATATCTTCCCTTTGGTTTCTATAGAGCATACTAAAGTATACTAAAGAATCTCCACCCCTAAAAATAAATACAGTAATTAGCACTAGAGCTTGTATTGAGAGCTCGAATTTTGCTGCATTCTGATTGGTCGAAAAATCCACCATTTTGATCCACTTAACCATCTCCCCCTTTAATCAAAGGGGGACTGTTAAGTAGATTTTGCGCTTTTATGGAAATAGTAACACTTTCACTTTTCTTCACAGACCATTTTGGAACAAAATTTTTTTTTTGAAAATCTGCTTCATAATTTGAAAAACAAAAACATTACTGAAAACAAACAATCAGAAGTGCTCTCAAAAAAAAATAGTTTGTTTTGAAGAAAGACTAACCAGTTCGATTCAGCTCCGAATATGTCAGTATTTACCATTTGTAGTGTGTTTTCCTAGCGCGCGAACGTCAAGAAACAGCTCATCTTAAGATAGTTAATAATCTAGATAGTTTCTTTATTTTGTTGAAAACGTTTCATATCAAGAAAAATTTTATCTTGGTTATTTTAGAAAAAAATTACGATAGGAGGAAATTTATTTGAAATAAATAGCCCTTCAGACACACACAAAATTATTTTCTTAATTGCCGTTACGTGATTGCTCACTAGGTATATGCACCTATGGAAATGATTACACTATTTCAATTTTCTGCACCGACCATTTAAGAACAATGAATTTTTGAAAGTTTGCTACATAATATTTTAAAAAAAACTTTATATCTACTGAGAGCGAATAAACAGAACAGTTCTCAGAAAACATGAATAAATCTTTTTTTGAAGAAAAACTAACCAGCTCGATTCAGCTCCTAGTATGCGGTTAAGTTTTCCTAGCGCGCTAACATCAACAAACAGCGCATTTTAGAAGGTTCAATACTTTAAATAATTGATTTTTTTGCTGAGAACGTTTCGTATGTCAAGGAAAAGTCTTACATTGGTAACTTGAGAAAAAATTCGCGATACGAGGAAACTTTTTTCAATAAATAGCGTTTCAGACACTCAAAAAATTTGCAGTTTTTTTAAACCAAATGTCAGCTCGTTCATGTGTGGTGTCTTTGATCAAATGATCCAGGTCGACATAAAAATATTTTCAAATCCGAGGTAAAGTGCTGAATTAAATTATCCGGAAAAGACGCCCAAACAAATGATCTAAGCAAACACTGCTTAGAATTTTAGCAGTATTAAAATGGTGTAAATTGGTTGTCAAAATTCGGGTTCAAAATTTTACACCAAAATGGATAATTTTTGGCTTATTTAGTCATTAAAATGTCACGTTGATACTGGATCAATTACTGGCAAATTATATCACAGTGAGCCTCTGATAGACACCAATAAAGTTTAAATAAGTTACTATCGCTAAAAACTTAAGCAAAATGTTTTGAAACTGTTTTCAAACAAAAAATTGGAATTTGATATTGTAAAAACGACATTTTTTGTCTATCAAACAAAAATAAAACAAGTTACACGTTTCCTTGGAGATTATACCCCTATATACTTTGTTGGTTACTATAAGAGGCTCATTGTGATATAGTTTTGTCAGTTATTGACCCGGATGTTTCAGCATAATTTTTTATTGACAAAAAAATTCGAAACTAGTACTTTTTTGGGGAATATGTTAGAATTGAACTTTGCAAAAAAATTACACCGTATTAATTCTGATAAGATTCTAAGCATGTTTTGTCTTGTTCATTTTTTTTATAGTCCAACCATAATATATAAACGCTAGCTATTTAAGTTTCAAACTTGATGCGTTTTGTCCGGATAATTTCAATCAACACTGTAAATGTTCTCTAAATGCGTATTTAAGAGAGCAAAAACCTAAAATTTTTGTTTCCTAGACTAGTGTTTTTGGTATTTTTTTTTTAGTTCTTCCAGTTTTTCCTTCTTTCTAACTTTCTATTGGTTAAATTCTAAATGTTCGTGAACATATCCTCATTTTTTTATTACACATTTGCCCACCCTTATCAGGGACAACATCTTTTGGTGAGCATCTATATACAAGGGCCAATTTAGGGGGCGCCGGGGGGTTTTGAAAGTTTGCTTCAAGGGGGATTCTCTCACCAACCAAAGGGTCCCCCCTTTGGTATTGTTTTATGACATAATTTTTTGGCCTACCAGCCCTTAAATTATTCTAAAGGAACTTTTGGCGTCAAAAAATGCTAATTTTGAAAGGGAGAGCGCGCCAAAAATGCGAATTCTCCATCAAATTTCCCAAAGTGCCAAACATGGCATTTTTGACCTGTTTTCTCATGGCGCAACCAATTGAGTTTGAATGGGGTCTTTATAGTGTTCTAGAAGCACTCGGATAATCAATTTACTCTATCTAAAACAAGGTCGACAAAAGTTTCGAAAATTCTTGGAGAACCGCTCCCCCCCCCCCCCCCTCAAAAGACTCGCCCCTGTCAATAAAACTAATTTTTGCGCACATGAAAAAATCAGTTTTGCTTAAGGGAGATTGCATCCTTCTTTAGTTATAGCCCCTAATTTATTACGTTTTTCAAAACAAAAAATATGTATTTATTTTGTTCCTGTTTTAAAGGTTCTTATAGATGTCTCAACCCCGTGTGCAGGCCACCAATTTGTCCAGGAGACTTCAGTAGCTCGTACAGGTATTTTTCCTGAACTTCGTGTTCATAAACGCAACTTGATAATTGTAAGCATTTCTCCCGCAATATGAACAAAAGTTTGACAATGAACGATGCATGTAAATATTAAAATAAAAGGATGTCTTCAGTAGCGAATTTTGGGGGAGGCGGATGGGGGGACGCCCCCTCCCCTCAGAGATTCGACCCCTTGCCGACCCAAAGGGTCCCCCTTTGTACTATTTTGAGATATCCATTTTTGGCTGACTGACCTTAAACTTTTTCTAAAGGCGCCTTTGGTGCCAATCTATACCTGATTGTCTTGAATAATTATTGGCAGACACAGTTAGAGAATATTCAATTCCCCTCTTTGCCACCGTTCCACGAAAGCTTAAAAAATTCTTGCCACTCATTTGCTTCTTAGTTGGGTTAAAAACTCAATTCATATCAGTTTCAGTAGAAAAAAATCGGAGATGGACAAAAAAGAGTAATTAGTAGAAATCAAAACTTTAGCAGACAAATATAGCAACGAAAGGATTGTACTTGATTTTGAGTTTTTGGCTGCCTTCTTGGCTCCACTTATGTACCCAAAAAAAATCGATTAAATACTTGTTTACCAAATAAAAATAGTTCAAAAATCTTTTCTGTTTCGGAGGCAAAATTGTGGAAAAAAAACATTGCTAAAATTATTTTGGACGTTATTCTGCGCACTGAGTTAGACTTTTCAAAAATAAATGAACTAAAGAACTTAAGAATATCAAGTTTTTGAGAAAAAAAACGCATTTTGGCACAATATTTAGCACAATTATTTTGGACGTTATTCTGCGCACTGAGTTAGACTTTTCAAAAATAAATGAATTAAAGAACTTAAGAATATCAAGTTTTTGAGAAAAAAACGCTATTTTGCACAATATTTTCAAAAAAGTATCAGCAAAAGAAAAAAATTACAGATGATTGCAAATTGGAAAAGATAACAACAAGGGAGAGGGAAAACTAAAAGCAAACAAGATTGCACGAATCAGGACGCAACCTTGAACGTTCCGAATGACTTTCATAGTCTATGGAGCAGTAATAATATGAAAAAATTAAATTAAAGAAAAAAGAAATCATTCCCCCACACGCCATATAAAAAACAAAGTGGTAAATTTCGCTCCTAGTAACAAATTAATTATGGCAAATAATCTTCTTTTGACCAATTTGGAAAATTTTCAAAGTTTGACTAAACCTCCGCTTACGCGTTAGTAGCGCGTTAATTGTCTCAAATTGGCCAAAACGGCAATCTTTAAACCCCTCATAACTTAACGAAAAAAGGTCACAGGTGACATAACATTTTAATTTAAGTTCGAGACAACACAACTTTTTAAATGAATATTATTTTGTTTATTTGAATAAAAAAATTCCGTCAAAAATGCCAGTTAAAAAGTCGAAATTTGTCTGAAGAAAAAATCCATCCCGAGTACAAACATTCTATTACATTTTTTAGGAAACTCGGAACAAATAATTGCCCGCTATACATCTACCCTTTAACTAAATATTGTTATGAAGTCCTATAATAGGGGTTAAATTTCCAAAAATAACTTTTTAGCCATAAAACACAAGCAGGAAATATACCAAACTCTAAAAGAGCAAAGGAAAAAGAGCAAAGGAAGATAAAAGGCATAAAAAAGAAACAAGGATAATTTTCAACAAAAGGTTAAAAACTGGAATTTTTGAGCGCCAGAAAACCATTTGAACAACAAACCAGCCATTTTCTTAGAGCTCACAAGAAAACTATCTTCAATTGTTATTTGCAAAATATATATATTTTTGAAAAATACCAAAAAAGCAACTTTTTGAAAACTAGAAGGTTTCAGGGAGCCACTTTATAGCATACAATCACAACCCAACTTGATATGTCTGATAGCATGAAAACAACGGTTGTATACATTTTTGTAACAAAGGAGTTTCGAATTTTAAAAAAGATGACGAAAAAGAAAACAGTGAATAGGTCATCTTGATCAGCTTTTCTTGGAACTTTTGAAAATTGAGTTAAAATTGGAGTAGCTTGTACATTCGTATCAAAACAGTCCATTTCGCATATTTTTTTAATAGTTTTTAAAGCAGATTTTCGGATAATTTTTTTTGTAAATGAAAACTATGACCGTAAATTTATAATTACACTGTTCATGGTGCAAAAACATAGTTACACTGCTCATGGTTCAAAAAACATAAATAAAACGACGTCTTGCTCGAATTTTTAACTGAATTTATTGCTTTGAAGTTTTAATTTGATGTCGACAAGAATACTTTGAATTTTGCACAACAATTTTGGAAGGAATGCAAAATCATCTTTGATAGCAAATTGAAAACTGAATGTTTATACTTCTGATGAGAAGTTGTCTCTTTAAACGAAATTGTTTGGGCTTTTTTGCTATAATTGTATCATCTGCAAACAGAAGTACCTCGTGTTATTCGAGACATTAGGCATATTGTTTGCTTCCTTGAGAAAAAATAGGCCTAAGACAGAACTTAAATGGAACCCTAACTTAACAAACTACCTATCAGAAGACACATCATTAATCCGCACATTTTCCTGTAAGCTTGTTAGATAACCCTCAAACCAGTTATGATTATTTCTCGAACTGCAGTTAAGACATAATCCTCAAAATGCATAAAATCGGGAGTACATATTTTTTTCCAACATGTGCATAATATAAAGTCATGTAACTATAGAAATGTTAACGGTAATAATTAGGACCTAACAAACAAATGTCTTTCTATCATGTTGCAAGGGAGAAGCAACATGATAGAAAATTTGATATCTTTGGGAAAAAACTCTAAGAAAAAAGTTTGATTAGAAGAGTTGCACATACAGTGGGTATGCTAATTACTGAAGAAGGCAGTACGCCAACCAAAATTTTCAGTGCGTTTTTCTATTGCTACTACACGATTGAGCGAAATCATATTTAATACTATTTACTTAGACACAGGGGCGGATTCGGAAAAAGAAGCGAATACCTCCCCCCCCCCACCACCCCTCAGGGATTCGACCCCCTGCCGACCCAAAGGGTCCCCTTTTTGTACTACTTTGAAATATTCATTTTTGGCGACGGACCCTAAAAATTTCTAAAGGCGCCTTCGGCGCCAATAAATTCTTATTTTGAGGGGAAAGCGCAAAATGGCAAATTATAAACCCCCAAAAACTTAACAAATAAATAATCACAGGTGAAATATTTTTTCTCAGGACAACAATACTTTTTGAATCATATTTTAAAAAATCCGTCTAAATGGCTAGTTAAAAAGTCGAAAACTGTTTGAGGGAAAAAACCCACCCCGAGCACATATTTCGTAAACTTTTGTTAGGAAAGTCGGAACAAAAAAGAAAAAGACTTGTGATCATTTTTCATAAAGTTATGGGGTTTGAAAATCGCTAGTTTGGTAAATTTGGGACATTAACGCGCAGTATATTGGGTTCTTATAACTCGCGTAAACTGCGGATTAATGCGTTCCAAATTGAACTAAAGCAAGCTATTTGGTTGATTTTTTCTGACACAAGACGCTAAATACATCTCATCGTAATTTACATTAGAAGGGTGGATAAATTAAAGAGAAAAAACGTTTTATTCTTTTTTTATAAGGTAGTCAATTTTTCAACCGAAACTTTTTTAAAACGACCTTAAAAGGCAGTCGGAACATAAGGGCGAGAAATAAGATTTTTTTTAAGATAATTTTGAAAAGAGTTTCATATCACCTACATAACAGATTTAATTAGGTCAATTTCTCTATTTTTGTAGCCAATCAATTTTCAAATTGAATAAAAAGTTCATAATTAGTCTGAATTTGCGCTTTTTTCTAAATTGCATATTTCAATTATAGCCATTTTCCAGGCGAAAATATACTTAAGGGGCAATCTACGATAAGTCACTCAGGGGAGTGGGGGTAGGGTGGGGGAATGGGGAGAATGTACGGTTGATCTAAGCTCAGATCAGTTTTTTTTTGTCGCAGAGAAACCTTAGTTTCATTCTAAATCTGAAACAAGTCCTATAGGAGTTCAATGTCATACCACGTTTGATCTCTTAGGAGTTCTATTTGAAGTACTCAAACTCTGACTGAAACAATTAAACTATGTCATAGTTCTTGTTGTTTCCACTAGATTAACTACAAAAATGCTAAATGATCAAAAAGGAAAAAATAATGATCAAAATTAATTTCTGACAAGGATAGCTGGTCGTTGTGCAATTTCATTTTTTTTGTATCTGGTGGGATGAAAGGATCTGATAGAAAAAACCCTGAGTTTTAAGCATTTCTGATATTTATAGATAATGAGGCACATTGAAAAATAGTTTATTTCGAATAATGTCCAGTAAAAAACCGATAAAAAATCAGTTTTTTTGCAGAAGTTTTTTTGAATTTTTCCCCAAGATGGCGCAAAAAAAACTTTCAAAACTAATTTTATTAGATTCTTCAGAGCTTGAAAAAATTCATGGCTATAATATGTTAGTTTAGTCCAATAAGCCGCTCAATCGCTTTACTCGCTCAAAATTTGACGAAAAACCAAAAATTTTATACCGGTTTTTCTCAACACAGGGAAAAGTTTTTCGAAATAATTTAAGGTCGTTTGAATCGCGACTAAAAAGGCTTTAATATGATATATCACTCAACCAAGTTCAACGATAATTTGTGATGCCTGATTATGCGTGAAAAAAAAATAAAACACACTCTATTACAAAGTTCTCCCACATTTGCAATGGTCGGAACAAAAAGCGGTGATTCAACTCTAGAAATGCAGAATGCACTGCAACTCCACATTCTCGTATTTTGTCTCAGGCTGTGTTTTTGCCAGTAACTGTCGCAAATTATGTTGAAAATTAATGTTTTTTTTTGGTCGACTAAATTGATTTTCTGAGCTCTCCCAAATCACTATAAAACCAAATTTTCTGCGCTGGAGGCAAATTTTTGAAAAAAGGCCAAGAAAAAGCGTTGTTAGGCACTTTTTGGAAAACTTCGACCAAAAATCGCGTTTTTTCGGCGCGCGTTTCTCCCTCAAAATTAGTATAGTTTGGCTCCAAAGGCGCCTTTAGAAATTTTAAAGTCAGTCACCCAAAAATGGACATCTCAAAATAGTACTTTGGGTCAGCAGGGGGTCGAATCCCTGATAGGGGGGGGGGGGAGAAAGCGATTGCACCTCCCCGCCCCCCTAAATCCGCTACTGGGTCCCCTATCAAAAAATCATAGGTTTTTTTTTATCATTTTCCCTGTCTTGATATCTTCCGGCTGTTGATGATCATCACCAAAATTATTGCAAATCAATAAACATTTGCAATGAAAGTGATGAATTTTGTCCTGTTAACTATAATATACAGTGCTGATTTAAATTATTAGGACAAAACGGACAAAACTTGAATTTTCCAACGCGTTTTTCTCAAATTGGGTTAAGATTAGACAAAAAGTGACAAAAAGAAAGAAGGCTTCTTGCGATATAATTTTCTCATCAATTAACAAAATAGTTTCAGTGTAATTCTTGATTAATTGAAAAAAGCCAAAATTACCCATTTTTGGGGTAAAATTTTGGTTGAGAGTTTCGGAGAAAAAACTACATCATTTTAACTTTGATGAAATTCTAAGCAACTTTTGTTCTCTTCACTTTTTGTCTAATCTTAACCCAATTTGAGAAAAACGCGTTTGAAAATTCAAGTTTTGTTTGTTTTGTCCGGATAATTTAAATCAGCACTGTATTCATTTTGTGCATGGATTTTAATTTGATTTGGTTTGAACTCAGGCTCTCACTCACAATGACGAATGGTGGCCAATGGGACATCAAAGATGAAATCAGAGTGACAGTCGGGAGCTCCGAACTTGTCATGTGTTTGAGCAATAAGCAAAGCATTACAGAAGCTACGCCGATACATGACGCAACTTTCAGTGAAGACGGAGTTTGCGAAACTAAAAATAAGGGCTAAAAAAATTGAATGGAAGACTTCCAAACTGCACTTTTATTATAAATTGCCCCAGAAGTTTAAATTGCCCCTGTGTGTGTGTGTGTGTGTGTGTGTGTGTGTTGTGTGTGTAAAGCATTCTAATTTAAAAAAAAATAACAGTACTAAAAAGTTGTATATAGATGTTTGGATTACCACACTTGCGCTGCGTTCTTTTGTCATCTCTTTGTGAATGGGAACCGTTTTTTTAGCAGACCAATCTTTTGGCGTAAAAAGTAAAGACGGCTTTTCGGCAGACCTGTATGATTGATTGACAGACGTAAAAAGAGTTTTGGAGAAAACACTGCCTCATATTAATTTTGATGAAATTCTAAGCAACTTTTGTTCTCTTCACTTTTTGTCTAATCTTAACCCAATTTAAGAAAAACGCGTTTGAAAATTCAAGTTTTGTTTGTTTTGTCCGGATAATTTAAATCAGCACTGTAAATCAGTACAACTGAAGCATGATTGATTGACAGACGTAAAAAGATGCTTTGTTTAGGTTTTAAATTAGCGCGAAGGACTGAATGTATGTCAACCAATTATATTTCAGCATTCAAAATGCGGAAAGAAATAAATTAGAAAAACTACAATTTCAAACTGATAAAAAGACGCTGATTGGTTGAAATTTTAAGCGCATTTGGCCTCTCGCTCGAGAACAGTGCATTTCATGATTTGTTATCAACTTTATTGTTCCGACTTTTGATACGAAAGTAACGGAATATTTGTTCTCGGGTGGGTTTTTTTTCTTCAGACAAATTTTGACTTTTTAACTAGCCGTTTTTGACGGATTTTTTTATATCCTTCAAAAGGTATTGTTGTCCTGAGCTCAAATTTGAAAAGATATTTCACCTGTGATCATTTTTCGTAAAGTTATGGGGGTTTAAAGATTGCCATTTTGGCCAATTTGGGACAATTAACTCGCGATATATTTCGCGCTATTAATGCGCAAGCGGAGAGTTAATCCGTCTTAAAATCGTTCCAAATTGGTTGAAAGAAGCTTACTTGCCATAATTGATTTGTTACAAGTATATGGCGTGTGGGGGATGATTTTCATAAAAAATTTCAAACTTTAGAAAAAAAAATTTCATTTTATTTTTTGATGTTATTACTGCTCCAGAAAACCTTAAAAGGCAGTCGGAACATTCAGGGCTTCGCCCTGATACGAGCAGTCTTGTTTTGAATTAGCGGACGATTGTGTTTCTGGACGTGTTTTCGCAAATAAAACATCATTCCAGACACATTATCGGAAATCTTTTAGTTAAGATTTTTTCGAAAAAATTTCATGTTTTTTGGACTTAAGGACTCTCTTTTCCTTTCTTGTCTGCTAGCTTACGATTCTATTTTATGTGACATCGCAAGTGATGCGGAATTTTGCTTCGCCTATGTGTATAAAGTCTCCTACACGACTTTTTTCTGATTTTTGTTGCGGTTTCCTTCTTGCCTGTTTTGTTCGTTTTGTATTCCAACGAAGCAATTAAATTACTTGAAAAATTTGAGTTCATCTTTTGCAATGTGCATATTGCATATTGCTGATATCTACGCTTGGATAATTTTGCGCACCATTTGAAACTTCAGCTCAACTAATATTTTTTGTGATTCATTAAAAATTCCGGGTTCTCCAGCCAATTCGAGTTTTACCATCATAAGTTTTTATGATTATGACCTATTGTTGCATAAACAGCGTTATACAAGGTAACAACAAACAGTCATCTCTCAAACAGATCGAGAGAAACTTTAGGTGCCCTGACCGGGTGGTAATAAAAAAGATATTAGTTTTTTTAAAAAACACTGATCAGCTGTGTTTCAAAAGTTTTTTATGTTGAATTTTGATTTCCCGCGTTGTATGTTACAATATTTTTATTCTGTTCAGTTGTTGACCACTTATAATTTCCCTTTAATTTGTTTTTCTTTGGTCTTTGGTGCCTTTTTGGTTGTTATTACTTTGCTCCAACTGCGATTCACGCGCCAGCCAACTAAGGAAGCCACTTTTCTGATGTTTTGTTGTTCAAAACAGGGGCGGATCTAGGATTTTCTCGAGGGGGGGGGGGGGGGGCGGATTTTCAAAAAATTGTCCAAAATTTTGACGACCATTTTTTTTTTTTTTTTAGGTCGACCAAATTGATTTTTATTTTTCGCGCTCTCCTAAAGCACTGTTTTGCCCTTATTTTGGCAAAATTTTGTGCGCCGCATGCAAATTTTTGAAAAAACAGTCAAAAAAGCCGTTTTTGGGCACTTTTTGAAAAATTTTGACAAAAAAATGTGTTTTTTTGGCGCGCGCTCCCCCTCACAAATAGCATCTATTGGCGCCAAAGGCGCCTTTAGAAAAATTTTAGGGTCGGTCGACCAAAAATGGATTTCTGAAAAAGTATCAAAGGGGGGACCCTTTGGGTCGGCAGGGGGTCAAATCCCTGAGGGGGGGCGTTTGCCCCCCCCCGCCCCTCCCCCTAAATCCGCCCCTGGTTCAAAATGAAAAAACTTCGTCAATTTACATCGGTCAGTTCTCCAAAACTACTTTCCTGTTGGCACTTTTTTTACCGCAAAATGAGGTGGGTATGCTTGACTTTGATAGTATACTTTTATAGATTTTTGAATGTTTGTTTTGAAAGAACTTTTCGAAGGAAATTTCAGAAAATCAGCTGCAATTCTCATCAGTTGCAGTTCTCAGCTCCAAAAAGTTTATTAAAATGATATATGCAAGCAGCGTTTTATAATTTGCAACGAAAAAATTTTCAATGATTAGAATCAATGCTACCGACTGTTATTCATGCGTATCGATGAGTCGTGTCATTGTCTCTAAAAATGGTAGCTTTCATCTCGAATAGTTTGAATTGGATTTCTCCAAATAAATCAAACATGATAATCAATTCGATAGACATATCGAAAGGAGAATCACCAACATATAGTTTAGTACCATAAAAAAATTTTGTCGCTAGTATATATTTGGCAGCCAATCACACTTCAATCAGTAAATACAGAGTCAACGCACTGGTTGAAATGTCAGCGTCAACTACCTCTGCTTTTGGTAGCACTATCAAAAACTGATTTCAGAATCAAATTACAGAAAATGAAGAGAATTTTTATTTATTCCATTTAATTTCGTATTTTTTTCTCCCCAGAGTTTTGTAAAAGTGGTCTGAATAAAAAACTACCCCGAGCATATCTTCGAAACTCGGAACAAAAACAAGCAGTTGAGTTTGGCAAGTATTTCCCAAATACCTTGCCAAACTCAACTGTTTCTTTTTGTTCCGAGTTTCGAAGATCTTATTGGGGTAGTTTTTTATTCAGACCACTTTTACAAAACTCTGGGGATCAATTTTTTTATCTGCATGCCGCCAGCCGATTGTTGCACACCACTGTACTAACCTACCAAAATTATGACAATACGGCTTGTTTTATTATCTCGCGCTACAAATTGGTTCCAAATTGAATTGAGGCAGCTAATTGGTTTTATTTACGACTAAAGTTTTTGTTCTGACTTTCGATACGAAAGTAACGGAATATTTGTGCTCGGGGTTGGTTTTTTCTTCAGACAAATTTCGACTTTTAACTAGCCATTTTTGACGGAATTTTTTTCTATATCATAAAAAAAGTATTGTTGTCCTGAGCCTAAAATTGTTAAAATATTTCACCTGTGATCAGTTTTTGTGAAGTTATGAGGGTTTGAAGATTGCCATTTTGGCCAATTTGGGACAATTAACACGCGATATATTTCGCGCTATTAACGCGTAAGTGGAGATTTAATCCGTCTTAGAAATCGTTTCAAATTGGTTGAAAGAAGCTTATTTGCCATTATTGGTTTGTTACAACGAGCGAAATCTATTCTTTTGTACTTTATATGGCGTATGGGGGGATGATTTAAAAAATCCAAATTTTATAATTTTTTTTTTTCATTTCATTTTGTTACGTTTTATTTTTTTTATGTTAAAACTGCTCCATAAACCTTAAAAGGCAGTCGGAACATTCAGGGTTTTGCCCTGATACGAGCAGTCTTGTCACACTTAGGTTTTGATATTAATCAGCCTAAAATTCATCGTTTTGCATAAGATTCAAAATTCATATTTACTTTATCAAAAACTATCCGAGACCAATTAAACGGCAATCGGAACTTTCAGGGCTTTGCCAACATTGTTCTACTGTCTAGGTCTTGCTGAAACGAGCAAAGTCCTTGGAAACTTTGAATGAAAAGGTGTTCTGTATGAATTTAAAACAAGACTGCTTGAATATCAGGGCAAAACCCTAAATGTTCTGACTGCCGCTTAATCAATATCGAATAGTTTTTGGGAAAAGAAAATGTTGAAAAACAATTAGTTTCGGACAATATCAAAGCTGAAGTACAAAAAATAGAGTCGTACGAAATTATTAAGACCAATTAACAGGCCTCAATTCAATTTGGAACAATTTTTTTGAGCGGGATAATTCGCCACGCATTAGTAATTTGCATTATGAATAAAACCTCAAAGCGCGCGTAAATTAGTCAAAAGCTTGGCCGAAATGGTAATTTTCAAGCTCCAAGAATATTGCAAAAAGAATAGAAGGTTTGATAGCTTTTTATTTGATTTCAGGGAGTCGATATTTTCACTGGCGTATAAAATTTTTTGTTAAACACTATTATTTCGATCGGCGAAATGTTTTGGTTACTACCAATTTTTGTGCGTTTATATTTGCTTCAAAAAGCGCATAAGTTTTTGAATCCGTATAGAGACAAGACTGCTCGTACCATGGCGAAGCCTTGAGTGTTCAGAGTGCCTTTCAAGGTCTCTGGAGCAGGTCTATGGAGAAAAAAATCTTAAGAAAATTGAAACATTTTGATATTTTTTCTAAAAATCATTTCTCCACATGCCATATAGAGTACAAAAAGATAGATTTCACTCCTATTAACGTAGCATTTAAGACAAATAGCCTGCTTCAACCAATTTGGAACAATTTCTAAGAAGGATTAAATCTCCGCTTACGCGTTAATAGCGCGTTAAATCTCAAATTGGCAATCTGTAAACGCCCATAACTGTACAAAAACTGATCACAGTAGAAATATATTTTTAAATT